CTCTCTCTCTCTCTCTCTCTCTCTCTCTCTCTCTCTCTCTCTCTCTTTTCTTTTTCAACCTCAGTTTGAATAGCACCTGTAATTAAGGAAGAAAACCGAGCCCTGGGAGCTAGGTAGGACTTGCAGCCATTGATCTGTGTAAGCCCAGCTTATACTGTCAGGGGAGGAACAGTCAACTGCTGAGCTGCTTTGTCACTGACATAAGCTGAGAGAGGATTTTTTTGTCTATACTGTTTATACACTAGTCTATAGACCTGCTGGCTGGTTGAATTTTAAAGAGTGCGGAGGTTTAAAGACTTGTCCCCTGAGGGATGCTTCTGCCAGTTGGGGAGCGAGCCGTGGCTGTTTTGCAGAAGTGTGTGCATGTGTGTTGCTTCTGGAAGGAGGGAGGGGGAGGGTGTGAACGATTGAGCAACTAACTGGGAAACATTCTTCTTTATTTGAGTCTTAAAATCAATGTGAAATATATTATTAATTCGGGTATATTTGGAAGCAGACAGTGGATTTTGAATATCTATCTTTATTGTTACAGAAATGATATGAACAGCTTTGCAGGGGGAGTGTCTGAATAGCGTTCATGTGTGTTGTAAATATGGGAAATGGCTTCACTTTTTGCAGCACAAGATAAGGATTAGCAGTGGTCAGATGAATCGTTCTCTTTTGTAATGTCCTGTTTTCAGTTTAAGTAATTTGAATTATTTCACGCTTAGCAGCTCTTTTAGTTCCATTTATTGATAATAAAACATTGTCAGTAGTAAAACAGTTGGCTTTTTCTAAATACGGGGTTTGCGCTCGTACTTACAAATGTATGTTCATAAGCAAACCTGGGTACCCTGCCCTAAAGATAGAAGATAGCTTTTTTACATATGCTTTTCTTTCAGCTTCAGGAACTTAAGGCTCATGAAGCTTTCTTAGGTTTTGGCATTGGAATTTTACAATGGTTTATTTTTACTTGATACTTTATACCAGTTTACATTTTAAAAGAATGGGAGAAATTCTGCTTAAAACACTCAATCCTATGACTGTGTATAGGGCTTAATTTTCATATACTGATGATTTCTCTGAATGTAAGTTTTATTGGTAGAGAAGTAGTGATAGGGCATTTCTGGCTGGGGAGTGGCTACTGCATGAAGATATTTGCTCTTTACTCTTTTAATATGAAGCCTCTTCATCAATCTCTGCTTTCTCTTGTAAAATCGCCTGGCTTTAAACTTGTGTGATGGTGTCTTCAATTCTGACTCTATGACAGGAGTTAATTTTACGTTGTTTTTCATATTTAACAAAATAGATCTTTTTCTATTTTTTTGCCAAATATCTGACAATTATCTGCATTTTGTTATACTTGTTAACGTATATGATTTCTAAAAGCTTTTAAAATTATTTTATAATAACTATAAAATCACTGCAGTTTCAAGTCAGTAAGATTATTTTCTATGCTTAATTAAAACATTGATTTTCATATTAGGAAATTCTTAAATAAAAGTGCACAGAGTAGAAGCTATGTAGTTTTACATTAAAGGCTTATTTTTAGATACACATTTCTTTAAGAGTGTTATTTGGGATTAAACTTAGTGTTACTGATGTTGAATTTACCAAGAGTTCAACATATAAATGTGTTTCTTTAGCTATAGAAAATACTTTTTTTTGAACCATTTTACTCTGGGGCACGTAGAGTTGTTATACCTCTCAGTAATTCATTGCTGCCAACTTCATTCCCTTTTCTCTGCCTGCATTTTAATTGAAACAACATTTATATTTCTGAGCCAGGATCTGTCAGAAGTCCCTGTGGCTACTCTGTGGTACAAGCAGCAGCAGACGCAGCTTACCCATATGGTGCGGTGCTTCTTGTAAAATCCATATGGCCTTGTTGAAGGGAGTCCCAGCGGGGATGTGAGGGGTGTTAATACCCTTCAGGCCAGGCCTTTCCCTCCTGGGGCTTCCGTGGCATTGTCAATGCAATCTGCCAAAGCACACACTTAATTCCTTTTTAATAATCAATTATTTTAGTCCAGGAACCTCTGTTATTTTTCTTAAGAAAAAGACAAACTTTTTTTTCCTAAAAAATGTCTCCAAAAAAGTTTTAACTGCGTCTTTAAAAATATTCTAAAGCTTTTTTTTTTTTTTGCATTTGCAGGAAGTACTACAGACTGTGCCAAAGTTCTGTTTCCCCTTTGACGTTGAAAGGTACAGTATAAGTCATCATTTAAAATAACCTTAGCCTAATCTCAGTGAGCACTTTAAAATTATTACATGTGTTTTCTTTATAAAATGAAATGTATTTTCCCCCATTGCCTCTAACAAAAAAGACTAGAGGTTCAAAATTAAATAATACTTGAAATGGAGAAGCCTTCTAAATCATTATATCTTCTGTTTCTTCCACTGTGGCCAGTTAGGATTAGTCTTAAGGTTCCATTTCTTCCTTTTGTTCTTCAGGTACATGTTGTAAGCACTAGGAGAAAAAAACATTAATATGTCCTTTATCAGAGCCTTAGAATTGTGTCTTTTAAAATTAGATGTATATATCCTGGTTTCTATCTCACTTCACCCTGATTGAAAAGACCATCTGTGTGATATTGTAAAACTCATGGCTGGTTGTCTCCCAAGAATAGCTTTATAGAAATCGTGCAATATTATGGAAGGCTGCAGAGAAACCCTCTTACCTAGCAGTTTTGAAAATCTCATTATGTTTGTATTTTACTGAACAAATGCTGGATGAATAGAGTATTACCTGTGTGTAACTGGAATGTCACAGAATATATAGCCCTTTGAGCATAATAACAGATCATTTATTGTTTTTCATGTGATTTTCATACCCTATTATCAGTTTTCTTTAAGGGTATGCTGTGAGGTGGTATTAAAAGAAAATTTATTTTAGGAAAATATTTTGCTAAAAGTAGAGATTAGTAAAAATCTAAAATTTTACAGTGTTAAAGATAAAAAAGCCTTTCAAACGATGGGCTAATTGATAGTAATAAGTACTGCTGGTGAATGATGCCCCTTGTTTTACCTCTTTTCTGGGGAATCACTTGTGCCTGCTAAAGTTGCAATTTCCAAATTAATAGCAAAGATGAAATAAAGGAAGAAAAGCTATGGAAGTAAATTGTGAACATTGGGCACTAGAGGGCACAGGAGACACTAGAGGTTGTTTGTGAAGTTTGTAAAAGTTAAAAAAACAAAAACAAACCTGTCCCCATAAAACTGCGTTTGTTAAATATTCAGCATTTGAACTGCAGTATTTCCTGACAATTGAAAATGATTTGTAGTATTGGTGCAGCAGGGGTAAGTAGCTTGTTTCCTCATACATAATTCCTGTGGCTATTTCAAAGCCAAAGTTTAGGTGTCCTGGAAACTTTATTTTGGGACAAGGAAGCAGATGTTCAGTTATTGTTGTCTAATGGCAAAGTTATGGCCAGTAACAGGAAATATATTTGTATATTTTAAGTAATAGTAAAGGTTCAGCGTAATGATTTATACTGCACCTTACATGGCAGTGTGACACGTATGATGATACTTAGTTCACGTTAGCTCAGATTCTTTGTAGTAAGCTTTTTTTTATAGAAATTGTATTCTTATTTTGTACTTGGAAATTTATTACCAGGATACAGGTAGCTCTAGAAGAGAATGCTAAAAAATTGCCAATAGTAATTTGTATGGTACTTTATTGGGTGAGAATGTCAACAGAAGAAGCAATTAAACAGAGTTGGTGGTGGCTGCCAGTAGGCTGTGCAGCAACACGCTTTGCTGTGTGAGAAGCCTTAGAGTCACCTGGAGGAGAGGCTGGGGAGGGGCGGACCGTCGTATGACCAGCTTCTCACCTCCCCGGTTCCATTAGTAGTACGTTCGGAATTTATGAAATATTTGATAAGTACTTTCAAGCATGTGAAAACTTACGGTAAGATACCTTATGATTCCCTAGTAAGGGATTCGAATATGCTGAATTGCTCAGTCCATAAGGCGTTTCAACCTATTTTGGTACTTGCTTCATGATTTAGTTTGCACATTTCACGCTCATTTTAGTTTTTAAAACGTCATTCTATCTTTGGGAACCAACTGATTGGAAAGGTGAAAACAATGCCACACATACATCTATTCTTGCATTTGCTTTTCTCTAAGAAAATTCTCGCACAAGGCTTAAAGTGTTATAATACTACTGTATTTTAGAGTGTCTCAGAATCAAGTCGGACAGCACTTTGCCTTTGTACTGACAGACATTGAAAGTAAACAGAGGTTTGGATTCTGCCGACTCACATCGGGAGGGAAAATCTGCTTATGCATCCTCAGGTAAGTATTTGTAGTAAAAAATAAAATTGGAGGCACGATAGATTAACGGTGTCTTTCTTTTGTACTTTGCTATGCTTGGGATGCTTAAAAATATGCTTATATATACTTTTAATTGTTTTATTTAAATCCAACTAAGTTGAAAAATAATTTTATTTACTCTCTATATATGGCATCAATTTGGTTTAAAGATATACCAGTAACAGTAGAATTTTGCTTCAAAGAATTGGCTCCTTCTTTTTTTTTTAATCTATTGAAGTATAGTAGATTTACAATATTGTGTTAGAATTGGCCCTTTTAAAGATTAGTTTTTGTGGGTTTATTTTTGAAAAATTAAGATATGAGGTCAGATAATATATGCTTCACATATTAAGTAGGATGCAAAAAATTCAGTTAAGTTAATATGTGTTGTATTGCTGACCCAGAACTTGGATTTTTGAAAGTGAATTGTTGGTTGTAGGTAAAGGTTGCAAGCTGGTGATTCTGGGCAGAAGTGTTTAGAGGTGTTTTATTTGGCCTCATGGTGTTTAAAAAATTTTAGAAGGTGTTTCTAACCTTATAAATTTTAGTGAAATTTTACATAAAGTTCACGTTTTTCGTTCCTTTTGCTAGCGCTGGTCTTGCTGTCCCAGCAACACTGAGCTGGTGCTGAGCAGCAGGTGTCTCCTTGTGTCAGGAGTCTGCTTGTTTCACAAGCCCTGCCTGTCCGCCTCCATCACTTACCTGGTTGGCCTGGACTCACTCGGTAGACAGTTGAGAGCGTGTCTCTCTGTCTGTGGACCTTGGGTTTGAGTTGCTAGTGCTGAGGAGGACGGTCCGGAAGGTTAGCTTCCCTTTAATATGTCCTGATGACTTAGAAATGTAGGTGTGTTCTATACAAATAGGACTCTATACTGTGATTACAATACGGATATTGGTCAAGCTAGATTCTATAGAAATGTTTATAGTAAAAGAAATAACATTAAATTTAATGTTCATTTGCTTTTTAGCTACATTCCTCTCAATCTTTGAGGGTTAAGTTATAAATTCTACTCAGAATATCTTTTCATTAAAAAGTCAAATTTACAGAAAAGTTTCGAGAATACTACCATGAGCTCTTGTCTACACATCCCCTAGATTCACAGTTGTTAGCCTGCTTCTGTCTCTCCCCACCTCCCCCCACTCTCTCAGTGTACACACGCACACACACACACACGCATGTGCACACATGCGTGCACGCACACACACACACACACAAATTCTGTATGTCTCTCTGTTGTAGTATTGTTTTTGCTGACCCATTTGAGAGTAAGTTATAGACATCATTCTTATGTAATATTTGAATCTATTTTACATAAATTAATTATGATATCCATAATTAAAGAGTCTAAATCTTTCTCTTTGTTTTGAACTCTTAACATACTTTGAATACAATGAACCTATTAATAATTAGCATGTTTTAAAATTTTCACAATAGTCCCTGTGAATGGGCTTGTAGAATAAACATTCTTAGCCATTTCTGTTTCAATTTAGGAAAGCCATTGTTAACCTCGAAATATTTACACAAAATATGAACTATAGCTATTTGTTAAATGATTGAAGGATTAGTATCGTGTCTGTATCTCCAAACCAGTTGTCATTAATTTGTAGGAAGCAGATTCTAGAGCAGTTACCATATCAGGTTACTTTTATGTAGTTCTCAAACCCGTCTGGGTGGAAGGAGACTAGAATGTTGTCGTTCTACATTAAGAACAGTCTCACCCGCAGAAAATATGGTTCACTTATATCAGTGTAATAAAAACCAAAAAAAAATCGTCTATGCCAATAAAGAAAACCTTTCACAGTAAGCATTATTGGTTATTTAGTCTTTTTAAAAAGAGTAAATGTTCCTTTTATTTTTGTTATTTGACGGTGCTTTCCAGTAGATAAGAAATAGTAGGTATCAAAGCTTTATGAAAAAACTGTGGAGGAGAGTGAGAATCTTAAATTGAGAAAATTCTATCCTGCAGCTTATTTTTTCCTAGAAAATTAAAAGACTGCCATCTCATAGATGTTAATGGCATGTCTCAGTCACTGTCCTGGAAAGTAGTATGCAACGGTGTTGTTTGAGAATAGCCAATTTAGAGACTAGCCAGTAAATTAGAGAACAGAGAATTAAAATATAATCAAATTCAGCAATTTATTTAGAAAGTTGTGATGGGTAGGTAAATACCTATTTTAAGGTGTAATCGGTGTATGTCTGTGAAAATAGTTTTGGCAAGTCTCGGTGAGTGCTGTAGTGAGAGGAATAATGGTGTTTTGGGTTCTGGTTTGTCCACGGACTACACTGAGTCTTCACCACTTTCGATTGAACTTCATACGTGTTGAAAGGAAGGATGGGACTCTAAACGTGCTAGAAGAGATTGTTGTTGATTTTTAAAAACTACTGTAACTGTGAGAGCCTTTGAATCCTGACATTGAATCCTGAAGCCAAAAACGTTGGCATCCTTTGACTACATAATGACGAAAACTTCTGTTTGGTGACAAATATAGTAAGGAAATTGAATATTCCAATAATAAGCTGGTAGGACTATATTTACAACCACTGTGACAGAGAGTTAATCACCATAGAGTATAATAAGAGAGAGAAACAACCCAATAGAAAAATACGTAAAGCATCTGAACAGCATATTCACAGAGGAAATGTGAATAGCATATATATACATATGTATGTGTGTGTATATACACACACACACACCTGTGAATGATGCTCAGCCTTACTAAAGGTAAAAGAAACGAGCACATTACGATGGGCAGAAATGAAAAACTAAAAATAAAAAGCATGAGGGGAAATAGATATTTCATGTGCTGCTTGTAGGACTGTAAAATGACATGACTTTTTGAAGGGGAATTTAAAAATATCTATCAGATTTTTAAAGTCTGCTTCTCCTTGACTCAGTTAATTCCAGTTCTTGAAATTTAAATCTCAGGAATATTCCCAGTGGTGAGTAGTAAAGGGTGAGCAAAGTTATTTATTATGACGTGGTTTATAAGAGCAAAACCACTGGATGTAGATGTCTCTCAGGAGGAACTGATTAGGTGCTTTAGGGCCCATTCCCCAGGCTCTACTCTGTGCCCCCTCCCTGCCGGAATGCTGTCTGTGCTGTTCACTGATGCGTTGTATTCCCAGTGCCTACAAGAGTAAACTCTTAATAGATATTTGTTGAATAAATACGTTAATGAATTAATGACTAGTACAATGGAATATTATTTATCTGTTAGGAAAAATTATACACACAGATACTGACTTGGAGAAATGTTTATGATATATTGTGAAATGATGAAAAGTTTCAAGGTAATATCTATAGTGTGTTCTTATGTTTGTAAAGAACAAGTTATATGTATATATAAATGTATATTTTAAGGAGTAGTCAATAACAGATTTATATATTAATATATGATTGTATATACTTATAAAAGGATAGATCTCTAATTCTTTGACTTTGTACACTTCAGCATTCATCTACTTTTTGCAGTGAGCAAAAGTAATTTTAATCAGTTTTTCCTGCACTAAAATTCTGAGATGTCAGGACTATATAAAGAGCATATTAAAAATGTGTGGGAATTTACCCAGATCATCTTTTGTCAGGTAAGACAACCAGGACAGGAAATGGTCCTACAAGTGTGTTTTCGTGGAGATACTCCAAAGGCAGCAGCTGGTCATTGTTGACTAGCAGAATTAAGAATGGGAAGGGAACAGGCATTTCATTCTACACGCTTGAAATTTGGAATCACAGTGCAAAAGAATGATCTTTGGAAGACAAAAAAATATTACTTGTGAGGTGACCTTCCCATCACCATCTTAGAGCCAGATATTAGTGTTTTTCTGTAATTTCAACACAGAATGTTCAACGTGGTGGAAATGCTTTATGAGAGGACAGGAGAAATGTGACTACACCTACAATTTATTTTCTACTATTTTTTCTCTTCCAACAACACTCAATTTCATCGTATCCTTAAGATGTAGTAGGAGAAAGTTTGTTTAGCTTCATATAAAACCAAGACTTAGAATTTAGTCATTTTTGAAGGGTTGTGGGAAGGGAAGGTAGAAGTAGCAAACGAATTATTCATGGGATTGGTTGGGGCAATCAGGTCTCTTCCTTTAAAGGCCAATTTCTTGAATTCCAGACTCTGCTGCTTCCAGGGGTTCTGTGAGAGAAGGCCACCTCTGCTAGTGTTCTGAGTGTTCACTGGTGGCTGCCAGGGCTTTAGAGTAATGTTTGCATTCAGTGTTTTGGGAATGTCCTGGTCCTCTTAGAATTCAGCCTTAATTCTAAGTCCTAAATTCTAAGGCTTCTTAGAATTAAGCATTAATAGGGCTAAAATTTATTGAGAAAAATGACAAAATACTTGAATAAGCAAGACACAGAAATATATGTCTTTAACCATGCTTTTCTGTTAACAAAAGTAATATATTTTACTATAGAAAAATTGGAAGAAAATAAAGAAAAAGAAAGTAAAGGCACTTATATTTGTAAAACATAATCATTGCTTAAATTTTGGTATTCATTCTAGACTTATTTCCATGTCTTGTTAAGACACATTTATAAATCTTTCTATTGGATAGCAAACTAAATATTTAACTGTAGTGTTTATTCACAGTTGGTAAAGTGAATGAATATATATAGAAGCAGTTAATAAATTGAAAAAGCTTCTATGGCTTTCATATTATCCGCTGTAAGTGCTGAGAATTTTTGTACATGCTTAATCTGACAATTGGTCATTTCACTTTTTTTCTTAAAAGTTGAGATTTAGCATAAAGATGATTTCCTTTCTGATTATAGTTTTTTAAATTAGTTACTTATTTCTTTACCTGGAGTATATTATGACTTTCAAATATGAAAAAATTTTAGCATCTTTTTCTTGAAGCTGTCTTTTGTGAAAAAGTAGTGCATTTATATTGAAACACACTACATTTTTAGTTATTGTTGCGAGATAATACTAGATTGATTATTCAGAGGTCATTTTTAGTATCAGTGATTTAA